TGTAGAAAGAAAAAAGGAATGAAGTCATTCTAATTGTTTGCGTGCCCATAGGATACCTTGTAAGCAACCAAAAACTATTAGCCCCTGAAGCGTATGCTAGTGCATGCTAACACATGTATTATATATAGCAGGGAAATAGAACTGGTAAATGGTGAACTTCCACAAAAAAATGGGCACATACCATGTATTGGACCCAGATCTTGCTCTCTTTGAGAATTGGACAGTTCTGACCTAGGAGAGCCACTCCTAGTTTTATGCCGCGAACCAAGATGGATAACCAACTTGGTAGCTTTTCCAGTGTCATTCTTGGGAGTATTTTCTTCACCATCTTTGTAATGCAAACTCGAAACCTTACTGCCTTTAATCTTGACTTTGGGTATCATATCAGCATTGTTTGGCACAGCTTTCTTGGATGGAGATTTCAAATTCTTTTCTGAACTTCGAGTTGAAGATGAAATATAGGCATTATCATCATTCTTAAAAGGGCTCCTATCATGATTGCCATCTATACTTTGATCTCCCAAACGGCTATTTGATAATTTAACATCATGCCTTCTCTCCAGAAATATTTCATCATGGCCATCGTCTGTTTTATTACCCTGGCCACCTTTCTTTTTGGAAGACTTCTTATTTGATCCAGGGCTCTTGAAAACAATCTTCTCTTGCTCAAGTGTATCTGACGGAGCCTTACTACTGTTGCTTTTTAATGAAAATTTTAGAGTATTTCTACTCTCATTTTTCAATACATATGCACCAAGTTTCTCATCATCTGAGTTTGGATAAGGTGGTGACACATCTTCAGGAGAAGGTAGTGCAGCAGCAGCCCGCAAAGTAACCATAAGTTCATGATCGACAACATCTCTCCTCTTCCAAAGCTCCCGGATTGCATCCTCAGTGTCCCTGATCTGATGTTAGCAAAATGGGTGTTAGATGATACAATATAGCAGTGAGGTATGATGACAGAAGTAGTTATCACCTGGGAGCATTCACCACGGCATGCTGCACATGTGTACTGAAGGTTTTGGTCAGCTTGGAATTGTTGGTACTTTTCCTCGCTGCGTAATATATGGAACAGTAAAGCATACACCCAATGAGAAGAAAAGGAAGGGAAAAGGAGGGCAATGTATATAGTTGAAACAAATATGGGTATTATTCAAACAAACACATAGGGTTCACTCATACAGACCTGATGCCATCACACTCAATATGCACCCACTTTTCACAAACATCACAGCAAACCATAGGTATGACTTCAGAGTCTCTATAAACCTGAAAAGAGAGGGAACCCAAAGCAGGAGATATCATATAAGCATAAGTCAACAAAATGAAAACATAGTATTTATGAACCAAGACTACTCATACTTAGACTTAAAAACTGAAATGAAGTCTCAATCAAAGAGGCTTCAAACTACAATATAAACAAATAATTTCCTTCACTAAAATATGTCACACAGGCAACCACTATCTTGTAAGGTGATGGGGGCAGAAACAAGGAAACATAGGAACTCCAAAACTGAACAGAGCATGATAAATTTCAAAAAGCTAAAATAAATCATTTTGATACTGAGAACATAGCACTTGTACCTTCAAGCAAATTGGACAGTAGTTTCCTTTCACAAACAATCGTCCACACGCATCACAACATGTGTACCCCAAAAACCACCTATATATCCAAAAGTTCATAGTGTTACACGCAAACAAAAAGTACAGCATAAGACATCTGGTAGTCAATACAAGTTAGAGAGATGAACATTTGAATCAGTACCTTGTGCTATGGCCACTACCAGGCACACCAGATCCACAGCTGTGGCACCTTGTATGTTTTGGACATAAATATGGTCCATGGGTAACATTCTGCAATGTTACACTCAGTGTTCAGTGATGACAAACAGATGTAAATGCAATCTATACAAAAAATGGGTGGTTGTGGAGAGGGGGGAAGTATACAATAAATTCACCTTGTGTGATGGTTGCTGACAGTAACAATGATAAGCGCCATCACACCTTTTACAGAACATTAACTTATTGGGATCACCAGGACGACGGCACACCTATATAGATGGCAAGTATTGATATAACACCAAATCAAATGCAGAAGCTAGTGATACTTACAATGTAACAGAAGCGATACATGCTTTCAAGATGCAAATTCAAACATAGCACAAGATCAAGAATGAACAGGGTAAAATTGTTCTTGATTGAGAACTTGTACAAGTTCAGAAAGATGGAAATAGAAAGACAACGGACCTCACAACTGCGGCAAGAGGGACAGACCCATGAGCTCCAGTGGAAAAGGTCTAGAAGGAACATTAACTTATCAGAGCATGTACATGAATGAATAGGTGATGAAGAGACTATAAGAATTCGCATTACCTCTATGTTCTCCCCAGCTTTTCAAACAGTTTCTATGATACCGTTTGCTGCAGAGTTTACATGGAAGCATTTTGGCAGCTTTCGTGCTGCCCTCATTTTCTCCAGAAAAGCATAAACAGCACATAACCTTGACAGCAGCATTTCCTTGATCCTCTCGATCCCAATCGTCTTCATCTCCTTCTGCCTCCTGAAAAAAGGGCAGAGACCTTCTTGTATTAAGAGATTGAAAAGTATAGTAATATGGAAGTATAGCATTCGATATTGTTGGCATCAACTAAAGATGCAACTAGAAAACCTAAAATATCTTATTGGCTAGTAAAATTGTGCACCACTGGAACTTGCCAAGAAGATGAGAAGCTTATATCCAAGGATTAAGGATTACTGCATCATGTGGTGAGTCAAAAACCAAAAATGAGACACCAGTAGTATATTGTAGAAAAATAATAAGATACTGTTTAGAATAAATTAAAGTTACCTTTGACACCTAGTTAAATAGCAGAGCTAGAAAATAACAAACAAGTTATTAACTCATGTGTCTAAAGGGGAAGCATCCTGTGTTTCTGCATGGTAAGTCATACAGGCATACAGCACGACCAACATTAGTGTACATGCAAAGCTTCATGAGACACAGGTCTGTTTCTAAAGCTGAGGTACATTTACTATACAAGGCATGTCCATTTCCAAAGCTTAGGTTCATTTATAGTAACACACAACGTTATTATCAGTAGCATAAAACCTACATGAGCATAAGTTATATAGCTCCAAGGCTCTCCTAAAGAACTTCTTTAGCCGTTTCTCACCAGTGAAGGCCTAGGTAACGTCTAAGAGCACACCATGCACAACACGACAACCACGTGTATACACACGAGCTCAAAATTCAAGCACAACTGTTTTTTTTTCATGCCACGCGTCACCATGCATGTAACCATTTCAAAAGATTCACAATATTGTTTCACATCCAACACTTTAGAAAGATTAAAATCATCTAGAAAACCCGAAAGCTCAGTCAGTTGAGCATAAAAAAAAAAGATCACAGCATTGCCATACAGCCATACCTCAGTAAACATTAATGCCTTACCAATTCGGCCACTAAACCCAAAACCCTAAAATACTACTCCCTCCTTCGGTCCATCCTAAATTATAGCCGTTTTGGCTGTGTTCTAGATACGTATTTAGACATAGCCTATATTTAAGTGCATAGCAAAAGCTAAAGCAAGGCAAATGCTGTCACCCCCAAAACAGCAGTATCAATGTCATGGCGGTGTGTACCCACTGATGCTCAGTGACGTGGATGTGCGCGCCAATACCCCATGACGGTGCTAATTTCCCACAAAAACAGGATCCCAGTGCTCGGCTGCCCCAGAATTCCCAAAAGGAAGAGTCTTTCATCGACTGCACTCCTATAAACCTCAACACAAAAGGATGCAAACTTAGCAACACGCATAAATCAGGTTCCTTTGCCCCAGCCCAGAATTCCAAGTAATTCATAGCAAAACACCACGAGCAGCCCACAACCACACAATCCAGCACGAAGATAAGGCGCGCTAGGCACAGAAAATTCTCCCACGAGCACAGGGCAGCAAGCACACTACACGGCAAACACAGCCACGGAAGAGAGAGGGAGAGAGAGAGATCCGCTGACCGGCGATCCGTAGGCGCCGCTCTCGAAGCGCCTGGCGAGGTCCTCTGCCGCGGCGGCGCCGCGCTGCTCCGCGGCCCGGCGGGCCTCGTCCTCCCCATCCTCAGGGTCCGGCTCCAGGGGCGGCACCTCCACCTGCACCGTCGCCGCATCCGCGTCCACGGCCCCGGCCGGCCGCAGCAGCCACGGATTCGCGAGGAACCCCTCGAGCGCGGCCACCGCACCCCCTCCTCCCTGTCCCTTCCTCGCCGCCGCCGCGGTGCCGAACCCTAGCTCGCAGTCGCACACCCTCCTGCTGCAGAGGAACAGAGAGAGGCAGAGAGGCGGCGTCCGTCAGAGCGCGCGAGCGTTAGAGTCAGGGTGACGAGACAGAGAGTGAGGGAGCTTACCAAGTGATGGGGCACGCGACGTGAAACGCCATGGGAGGGAGGCGGGCGATGGGGGGCGAGGCGGGGCGGCCACAGCCCAGATGGGTGGTCGCGTCGCCTCGGTCTGATTCGAAACGAATTCGGGGGCAGGGGTGCTGGGAAGTGGGTTTGGACGCGTTTTGGGGAAATTCGGGCAGGATTCGGGTGGGATTTGCGTTTGGAATCGGATTTGGAGGCGCGGCCGACGCGGGCGGCGGGGAGGAGCACGGCGACGAGGAGGGTAAGCCAGCGGGGTGGTTTTGCGGATGGATCCCTGCATGAGTAGGGTTTTATCTTTCTGGACAAGGTCTCTCTGTGGGCAAGCGCGTGGTTCTGGGAGATTTTGCGTGGAGGTCCCGTAAAGGTGCAGAATTTTGGGTAACGGCTCCGGCAGGCAACCGGGAAGTGTGGGCCCCCGGACCGAACTGGGCTTGTGCGGGTTTTGGATAAAAAGGGCCGTCTGTTTTGGGCTTTCGTGGGCATTGGCCCATTCTCGGTACTCGGAGCAAATGAGCCCGCCCCACCGTCCTATGAACTCCGGGCCTTAGGCCGGCGAGGAAGCCTTGCCTGCCGACCAAGCCATGCTCGCGGCGCGCCAGCTCGCCGCCGCCGGTGGTAGGCTGTTCTCCGCGGCGGCGTCCTCCGCTTCCGCCCGAGGGGGTCACGCGGGCGGCGCGGCGGGGAGTGGGGACACGCTGGGGAAGCGCCTGCTGAAGCTCATCTACCCGAAGCGGAGCGCGGTGGTGGTGCTGCGGCAATGGGCGAAGGAGGGCCGCACCGTGCAGAAGTACCAGCTCAACCGCGTCGTCGGGGAGATTCGGAAGTACGGCCGCTTCAAGCACGCCCTGGAGGTACACCACCCGACCCTTGCCACATGCCACGTGTCCACCGCCAACGCGATAGCTATACGCCGCAGTGGCTATAGGCTCCTGCTCGCCGCCTGCTCGACGTATTGCCAGCATGATTCCTAACGTGACCCGACTCGAAAATGCAGATCTACGAGTGGATCCGAACCCAGCCGGAGATGCGGCTGCTGCTGGGGGACCACGCAGTGCACGTCGACCTCGTCACTAAGGTCCGGGGACTCGCCAGCGCCGTCAAGTTCTTCAAGGACATGCCGGAGCACGCTAAGGGTCCGTCCACCTGCAACGCGCTGCTGCACGCGTACGTGCAGCACGACGCGAGAGAGAAGGCCGAGGCCATGATGGCGGAGATGGTCCGTGTGGGGTACCTCACCTACGCGCTGCCCTTCAACCACATGATGTCGCTGTACATGGCGAGCGGCGAGCTCGAGCGGGTGCCAGAAATGATCAAGGAGCTAAGGAGGTACACGGTCCCTGACCTCGTCACCTACAACATATGGCTGACGTACTGCTCCAAGAAGAACAGCGTGAAGAGCGCCGAGAAGGTGTTTGGTCTGATGAAGGATGACAGGGTGGTTCCTGATTGGATGACCTTCAGCTTGCTCGGTAGCATTTATATCAATGCTGGACTCCATGTCGAGGGCCGGAATGCGTTGGTGGAGATGGAGAAGAGGGCCTCCAGGAAGGAGCGAGCCACATACTCATCGCTCCTCACCCTGTATGCAAGCTTGTCAGATAGAGGGAACTTGGACAGGGTATGGAATAAGATGAGGGAAACCTTCAGGAAGTTCAGCGACACAGAGTACAAGTGCATGCTCACTTCCCTCACGAGGTTTGACGACATAGCAGCAGCATAAAGCATCTACAGGGAATGGGAATCAGCGTCGGGAACACATGATTCAAGGATCCCAAACACGATCCTTTCATATTACATCAAGAATGGCATGATCGAGAAGGCGGAGAGCTTTCTTGGCGACATTGTGGAGAAAGGAGTCAAGCCCAGCTATAGCACATGGGAGTTATTCGTCTGGGGTTATCTCGGCGACAACAATACGGACAAAGTCCTTGAGTGCCTGAAGAAGGCCCTGTCAAGCTTGGAGAAATGGGAGCCGAACCATGAGCTCGCCACTGCGATCTTTTCTCAGATCGAGAAGACAGGTGACATTGAAGCTGCAGAGAAGCTCCTAGTCATGTTCCGGGATGCAGGGTATGTTACCACTGAGATGTACAACTCGGTCTTGCGCACTTATGCAGAGGCCAAGCTCATGCCTCTGATAGTCGAGGAACGAATGGAGCAGGATAAGGTGGCCGTGGATGTGGAAACCAGAAGATTGTTGAGGTTGACCAGCAAATATCCAATCGGTGAGGTTTCAACATTGATGTCTTGAGGTGTACCAATAATAGAAGGGGTGTTTCAAGGATGCAATGTGTACTTGCCCATATGTTTTCGCGCACTTCAGTTTTGAAGTACAATGCAAATAACAAACATTTAGTTTTGAAGTGCGATACAGATGGGTGTGATTTTTGCTTAACTCATATTTGTTGATTTGCCGAGATAACGAAACCAGATAAACTGTTTACAGTTGTTCATCACTTTGACTTTAGAGTTTAGATGATCCAAACCCAATTTTATAAAAAAACTGATCCAAACCTAAAGTTACCACAATAAAATGTTGTAAACCTTTAACTGCTTGCTCCAACTTAACCGTATATGTATTTGGTAATGATTTTTCTTAATAGACAGCGAACACAGAGAAACAGTGAAAATGAGGCCCCCAATTATTGCCACAATATACTATTTTCTCCGCCACTAGTTAAGGCTCGCTAAGTGCTAACAGAAGGATCTGATTGACATGTTGCACTCCAATCGGGGAGGCAAATCCAAGCCTAAATTCACCTCAACAAACGGTAATTCTTCGATCCTAGTGTCTGTAACACCCGTAACCAACGGCGATCGCCGACGACGTGAGCGCACAAGGATGGATCGCCGGAGTTGATACGGAGCCGAGAGGAACCTCTCTGCTTCATGTTTTCTATTTCCGAATATTTGATAAAAATGTCTTACAAGCCACAGTACAATATATAACGGAAACGCTACTGGTCCGCAGGACCCACGTGTCATAGAGTCTCTATTACATAATATGGCCGATTACGCCTTCAAGTAGATAAGACGACTTCTCCTCTTTACGCCATCACCCCGTAGCTGTAACAGTGTCCGACTCTTACTGGAAGTATCAGAAGGAAGTAGGCGTGGAGCCATGTGGCCAACCTTTGTTTAATATAATATCCGGTCTATTTATCCATCGTCCACCGCAATATCCAGTCAATTCATCCATCTCCCACACCGTTGCTTACCTCACTCCTCCTGCCGCACCTCCTAGCGCTGCTCCCGACACGCTCACATCCAGCCGCTGATCTGCGCGCCCGCGCCCGCGCCCGCTTCTATGCACTCGCCCTGTTGCTCCTGCTCGGCCGCCCGCTCCGCCCGACGACGCCGACAGGTGCCGCCAGTGCAAGGAGAAGCGCCGGGCCTTGGCGCGGAAGCCCTCCGGTCTTGCCTCCTGCTACGGCTGCAGCGTCCCAATGTAGACAGCGGAGGAGGCTGCCGCGTGGGATATGATGCATGTTGCAAATGTACATTTGAAATATTTCAGATGTTTTAGAGATATGTTTCAAGTGTTTTCACGTAGATGTTGCAAAAGTAGATCGGAATGTTGCATATGTTGTAATGGTTGTACACGTATGTTGCAAGTGTTTGTCCCCAATGTTTTATTTGTTTTTTAGACTTACGATGCAAACGTGTTTATCTGGATGTTGCATATGTTTCACACATATATTGCAAGTGTTTTATCTGGATGTTGCGTATGTTTGCAATGGTTTTCAATTGTTTTTGCAAGTGTTTTAGATGCATGTTTCGAATGTTTCATTGTCTTTTTTTTATGTTGCAACTATTGCATCTAGATATTTTTAAAGTAGATCAGGTATTACACATGGATGCACATAGGAAGCGGGAGGGCGTGCAAACATCCCGTGCGAGCGACATCTAGGCAGCATGGGCCCCACATAGGCGAGGGTGATGCAGGCGCGATCAAGCGAAGTTTGTGTAGCGTGGGCCCATGCGTGGACGCGCGATACGAAGGGGAAACTGACTACAGTCGCAGACATCCGTCTAGACGTCTGGGCTCTAGCAGTGCCCCAATTTATATGGATCCAATGAACAACTCTGCAAATTTCATGGAGCATTAAAAGAGATCTTCCTATTACCAAAAGTCACATGTCATCCATTATAGCAGATATTTCACACGACACACCAGACCAAAATAACTAGCCTGTTTGGAGGGGCTCCGGCTCCGTCTACTATAGCTGCACTGTGGAGGAGCCGTCGGAGCGTCCAAATCGCAGCTCCTCCGGCTTCCTCCCCTTCGCAGTGCATTTCTTGATGAGCCGCAGCCCTTTGATGAGCCGCTACAGTAGAAAACAGTGGGGTACAGTGTTGAGGGAAGAGGAGCCGGAGCGCCTGGAGCTGCGCCAAACATGCACTAAACATTACACCTACAATGGGAAGCGACTACAAACTAGACCAACTCTGTCTCCAAAAAAATAACCTAAACTGCAGCACAAAAGTAGCATATCTATATTCGCATGGGAGAAATGGAACTTCATGGACCGGTTTCTCGTTTTCCAGTAGGAAGGATTCACTCGATCTTCAGTTCCACGTAAGGTGCCTTTCTGCATTGTTCATTTTGCCCAGATTTTTGATATAGCAACAACAAATGCCCTGATAACAAGCCAGAATAGGTTGTCATCTTTCTTATGTAGAACTTTCAACGTTCTCCTGCAGACCATATAGAGGAACAGAATATTCAGAACATTAGATAACTATCACAAGCTCAATTGAACAGGTTTTTGGTTTCGCAAATGCGATTTCATTCAGCCGCCTAAGCACGAATATGAAGTGCAAGCTTTTGGTCATAAAGACAGGAACAGAGAACCTCCTGTGTGCATGGACTAAAGAACTGTCTCACTGAAAATGAAAAACTATCTAAGCTCGATCAGTTAATAGTAGAGTACTAACTAGCATGTTGATGTTGTTTAGTATAAGTTACTTATGGCCAAAACCACGACTTGGTTCTTATGATCCTAGGGAGTCCATCTATCTAAATTACGGGTTACACGATGGGCTGAACTATGATGTTGCCACTTGCCCAGGCACACTCATGATGACCACGGAACTAGCAACTACAAATTTGTTCTGATCACTGCAACAGTTAGAACAATACCTCCACGGAGTGCAACTCATAGCTATCCACCACTATTTATGGCAAGAGTATTTTGATAAATTGTTCAATGGTGAGAACGAGAACACCACCATTCAGCTAGACGTCTCGTTTGATGACACTAACAGGCGCTTTGTGCGGAGCATTCAAGAATCGAAGGTCAGAGAAGCCTTGAAAAGGATGAAAGGGGGCAAAGCGATGGACCCTGATGGTATCCCAATCAAGGTGTGGAGATGTCTCGGGGATATAGCTATAGTATGGCTAACCAAGATGTTCAGCAATATCTTCCGATCGAACAAGATGCCTAAGGAGTAGAGAAGAAGCATATTGGTACCAATCTACAAGAATAAGGGAGATATCCAAAGTTGTACTAATTATCGGAGAATTAAGTTGATGAGTCACACTATAAAGTTATGGGAGAGAGTCATCGAGCAACGCCTGCGAGGAACGACGTAGATATCAACAAACCAATTTGGTTTCATGCCCGGAAGGTCAACCACAGAAGCAATCTTCTTAATTAGACAAGTTATGGAGCAGTTTAGAGAGCAGAAGAAGGACCTTCACTTAGTTTTCATTAACTTGGAGAAGGCTTATAATAAGATACCAAGAAATGTTATGTGGTGGTCTTTGGACAAATATAAAGTCCCATAAAAGAACGTGACCCTCATCAAGGACATGTACAACAATGTTGTGACCAATGTTCGAACAAACGATGGCAACACAGATTACTTCCCGATTAAAATTGGACTTCATCAAGGGTCAGCCTTAAACCCGTATCTCTTTGCCTTGGTAATGGATGAGGTTACCAGGAACATACAAGGGAATATCCCTTAGTGTATGTTGTTCGCTGATGATGTAGTGTTATTGGACGAAAGCTAGGCGGGAGTAAATAGAAAACTAGAGTTATGGCGGCAGACCTTTAAGTCTAAAGGTTTTAGATTGAGCAGAACTAAAACCGAATATATGAGATGCGACTTTGGCGGAGTTGTACAGGAGAGATGTGAGTTTAGAAGGTCAAGTAGTGCCTAAGAAGGATACCTTTCGGTATCTGGAATCGATGCTAGAGAGGGATGGAGATATTGATGCGGACGTTAGCCATAGAATCAAAGCAGGGTGGATCAAGTGGTGACAAGCTTCTGGCATTCTCTGTGACAAGATGATACCACAAAAGTTAAAAGGCAAGTTTTATAGAACGGCAATTAGACCGGCTATGTTGTATGGAGCAGAATGTTGGCCTACAAAGATTCGACATGTTCAACAACTGAGTGTTGCAGAAACACGTATGTTGCGATGGATTTGCGGTCATACAAGAATGGAACGAGTTCGAAACGATGATATACGTGATCGTCTAGAGGTAACACCAATTGAAGAAAAGCTTGTCCAACATCGGTTGAGATGGTTTGACCATGTTCAAAGAAGACCTTCAAAGGCACCAGTGCATTGTGGAGTCCTAAGCCAAGCTAATAATATGAGAGAGGTAGAGAAAGACCGAAATTAACATGAAGGGAGGCAATAAAAAGATATTTGAAAGCTTGGGATATACCTAGAGATCTATGTTTGAATAGGAGTGCTTGGAAAGCAGCTATTGAAGTGCCTGAACCATGACTTGGGGCTCTTGGTGGCTTTTAACTCTAGCCTACCCCAATTTGCTTGGGCCTGAAAGGCTATGTTGTTGTTGTTGTTGTTGTAGGAAGAGCCATGGGGAAACACTGACTTACCTAATATACTGCTGCCTTTTGTGCCGTGTGAAGGAAATTATACACAGTAAGCATGCAACGCAAAGTTAGGAGGCAAAGTGCATGCCTGCTGATCGCTGTTCTGGTGCTAATTCCTTGTTCATGCCTGAAATCGGCTGCCTGGACCTCTTCCTTTGTGATCCCAGATGTTGAGTTCTTGAATTCACTTTCATCTACCTGTACCACACTGTGCTGATCTTCTGTGTGCAACAGCCCCTGCAAAGCAGTAGAATAGAACGAATCAGATACATATCTACAGGCAATGTTATTTTGCTCACAAATGAACACCATACCATAATTGAAAAGTTCAATTCACTAGCTCCTTGTCATATAAAAAGTATAGCAATAAGAGGTAGAAAAGGTTGTATTCTGACAGTGCCCAGTTTGCTAACAATTGTCCCCAACCAAAACAATCTTGCAAAACAAAACAGGAATAACCTAGCTATCTAATACATACTCCAGTTGTCACTGAGGAGCTGGGGTTGGGCGAGTGGGGGATTGGGACATGAAACTAAACACCCCAAGCACTAAAACATAGTAACTGTATGATGCATTTCCTTTGATTCTGGCAAACTCTAGAATCTAAAGGTAGCTTTTAATGTTCTCTATTGATCTAAAACAGTTTCCAAAAGATTTGGCGTAAAAAAAATATCCAGTTCTCAACAAACTGTGATGCATGCCTGCATATGACAAATTGCTCAACCTAAATCAAAGACCCTAAGAGCATAATATAGATGCAGTGTAGTATTAGACTGCATCTATCCCCACACTATAGATGCCACATAGTGTGGATTGCATTCCACATAACAGTAACAATTACAACCAAATCAGTTTTGTGTAATATGACACACCAACAAGCATATTATTTAATCCCCTTTTGTTGTTTGGTGTTAAGCATACTACAACAAATATAAGAGGCACAAAAAGGTAGCATGTCATTTAGAAGAGAAGATGATTTATATTGCACAATTTTCACAGAAACACAACTTGGCTAACCTTTGTATCTAATGCTGGATGAGAAACAGAGATGTCAGAGTTTTCTTGCCCATCACAGCTAGTATCAACCAATGTTTGCTCAAGCTCATCTTGCAGCATGTGTACTTTAGATGCTTCAATTGTCTTGGTTGCAACTTCATCCTCCAATTTGAAACCATTTATAGGATCAGTAGATACTGTAGTGCTAAACTGACCATCTAAGCTCTGAGCATTGTCAATCAATACCCTTCCAGTTGATGCATCATGCTCATGTAAAGAAGCTTGTTTTGCTTGAACACCATTGGTCACCGCAAGGAGGTTTGCATCATCCACGGCACTATCAGTTGATCCATCATGATTATCATTAGGCAATGTCTCATGATCTCTTAAAAGTGCAGCATTGTTTTCATAAACAGCAGAAGATTCTAAGGGAAGAATAACTCTATCAGTAGCACTACTGGCCGTCCCATCCTGTGCATGCGCCTGACTGTTTAGTGCAATGTCTTCATCTAAATCAGAAACCTGGGCAAATAAACGAGATTGCTCTTCAGAACTATTCAAGTCAAACTCAATGGATCCCCCAGATGGAATTTCATCTTGTTTCTCAAGGTTTGTTTCCATGAATATTGCATCTGCCGCATTCCCATTTTGGACCACACTATTCAGAACACCAGCCTCTAAGATATTAGATGAACCCAGGAGTGTCTGAGTGGTGATGGCATTGTCTTGCAATGGAAACGACTCATCAGTGCTGCATATTTCAGGCACATAACCCTTACTGACTTCACTACCAGACATATCTAAGATCTCTATACTGTCTTGACCCAATTCATGCTTTATGGATGACTCTGAAGAATCAGCACAATCTTCAAAACTCAGTGCCATAGCATCCAAGCCACCAGGGCCAAGGACTCTATTCTCTTGGATGATATCCCTCACGATCTCACGAACTATATAATATGACCCTCCAACTTCCTTATGTGTAAGGTTAACTGATGGGAATTTTCCTTCGTTTGCAACTCGGTAGCTGAAACAGAGCAAAGACATTGTGAACTGGATTAGCAATTTTCAGTCACTTTTTTGGCCTGCAGGATATTCATCCAGCGGGCAACCAAAAATCATGAACCACCACATGTCGAGCCAACTTTTAGATAAATGTCAGAAATTATAAGCACAAGTAACTACACACAGAATTTCAAATTAGATTGTTTTTAACACAAATGGGTGAGTCACAGATAGATAGAATAAAACCAAATCAACACTTTAGATTTTATTAGGGGACAAACAGCTTGAGGCAGTACGGAAACCAAGTCTGGCTTGGGATCGTGTCTTTTGCCAACTACCACTAATGGTCCCAAACGCAAGATGTGCATCCACGAGGGAGCGGAGACATGGGCACAGAACGCACCTGTTGATGAAGGACTCCACCATCTCCCGCCTCTCCTCCTTGGATTTCCGCACCCGCGGCGGGCGCTTCTCCTGCGCGCGGGCGCAGCACCGCGGCACGGCGACGCCCCGGCCCCGGCCCCGGCCCCTGCACCCCCCTCCTCCGACGCCGCAAGCACTCCCCTTGAGCGAAGCGGACGGCGCGCCGCCGCCGCCGCCGCCGCCGCACCGGCCGAGGACGGACGGCTGCGCGGCGACCCAAGAGACGCTCCCAGCCGCGGCCTGCATCCTCCCCCTCCCTTCCAGGCCACAGGAAGAGAGGAGCCGCGAGCCCCAGCACCCGACCGACCGGTGAGCCGGGACAGCGAGGGAGATGCGCCGGAAATGAAGGGTTTTGCCGGGGGTTTTGAAGGCGATTGGGATTGGCGGAAACGGTGGATGGTTTTGGGGGAGAAGGGGAGGCGACGGCGCGCAGAAAGCGACAAGATTGGGAGGCTTTGGAGTGGGGGGCCGCCGGGGACGGCACACCGCACACGGGCAAGCCGCTTTCAAGTTGGTCGCGGTCGGCAATGGCTTTGGGCTTTGGCTGGGCTCCCTCCAACTCCTAGGTTTCCTCCGGCGCATATTTTCTACTATTTTTTTTCAGTTTTTCTCACCTTTTTTATTTCGATTCGATGATTTCCAGTAACATGGCCTCTTTATTTTCTTTCTTCAATAATTTTAATGTCCCAGTTATCCAAAGATTAGGGATCCAGACTCCATGAGTTCAGTATAACTTATTTACTAAACTAAGTCTCCTCTAACAACTTTAAATTTTGTCCTTCCCTAAGTCTCATATCTATCTGTATCTATATTTAAGGGCTAAAATTTCTGTTGTTTTTGTCTGGCCTATAATTTGGTCCACTCCACCCATCTATTTACTCCCTCCGATTCTCTAAAGCAGGTCGTTTTGGACATCGACATGGTTTTTAAGAAATGACTTTGACTACAACTTTTTGTTATAAAATATTTATAAAATATAGTCAATATATACTTTTATGAAACTACATTTCGAGATGAATCTATTTACATCATTTTCATATTTTCAAACTCAACACAAAAAAAGTTATTTGTAGTCAAAATTTAAAATGTTTGACTTAATACAACCTCAAAACAACTTACTTTAGAGAACCGGAGGGAGTACTTTTTAGCTCAGTCTACTCCACCCACCCGCTTACTTTTCAGCCCAAATTGTTACCTAGCCCACACTTAAGGCACGCGAGTGACTCCGTACCCGTTCGTCCTGTCCGCAGGTGTGGGGGATATACCCCCAGGTACCACAAGATGGTACATGGGCCGCACCATCCGAGGTGGCCTGGCCCGTAAGATCAAGGCGTGCATAACAAGATTACAAGTTGTACTAGATATTATAATAGTACCAAATTGGATACTTTACTTGTAACCTTGTCTCTTCGGAGTATATAAGGAGAGACAAGGGTCCCCTAGAGGACAGATCTATAGAGATCCATCTAGATCCATAGAGATCATACAGTATACATCTCAATACAATACACCCAAGACACAGGACGTAGGGTATTACGTCGATCGACGACGGCGAACTCAATCTAAATCATTGTCTCTGCTGCCTTGTGTCACCATCCGGTTCCCGATTACACGCATCCTCTACCGATAATCTACCACCACGGGCACCCCCTCGGTGGACTATTTAAATTCGACGACGGTGGCGCGCTGTAGGGGACCCCTTTAGGGGTTGTGCGCGCTGATCCTCCGGTGAACTAGATGGACCTCAAGTTCAACATAACGTTGCCCGCAAGATCGTTCTTTGGTTTTGCACGGAAACTTCTTCGTCATCATCTACGGCAATTCGGCTACCTGCAGAGCATCAGGGGCCATTACAACCGCCTTGACCTGCTCGGAAGGCACCTGGTCGAATCGTCGAGTTAGATTCCAGCGTCCAACTTCTGCTGAGTCCACACCGGCTCCGGCACGTGGGCAGTCTGCCCTGACCGGCTCTGACTCTCCGAGAGAAAGCCTACGATCACCGTGCGGGACTCGGGCACGATGGGCAGCCTGTCTGCGACACACGATCAGATCCGTGTCTCCGAGAAACTCCTGCCGATCAGATCCAATCTCATCGTCATGCCTAGGCACTTGAACGTGGTCCATTCAGGCTCATGCATGATCGACGGGCATGCAAGCAAATAAGGAAGGTGTAACGTGTACATCTATATGAAGCCAACAACTCCGTCCGTTACGGAGTCGACTGAAACTCCAGATAGCAAGCTAGCCAAGAGTCATGCATATACGCGTATACGTTACACAAAAGCATACATGCAAGCCATCTGATCGGGCAGAAGAGGTCAAGATGACTTGTCTGTTTGCCGAAAAAGCTAACAAGATACGTAGCATGTATACATGTATATACATCTGCACGGATGCAAGCCAATAGCAACACGCGGAGGTCTACGCAGAAGCAAATAGAGGAGTATGTGTGCATCTACAAGCCCATATATGCGTTGGGAGCGGATCCACTTGCTGGCATGTCGTGCTAAGGCATCCATCGGAGGCATCCATACAATACTAATACGTACAATGAAATACGTCCAAGTCCAAATACATGGAGCCATCCGAATCAAGTTGTTAACTGAGCCGCACGAGCTACCAAAAGAAGCGTCCGAGCCGTTTGAATTAGCCACGTCGAGACATCAAGAGAGCCGGCCAAGCCGTACGCAAGCCACGCCAAGCCGCGGGCGAGCAGCTGAGCGAGCCACGCCGAGCTCCGACCACGTCGACCGCGACCACGTCGACTACGTCCCGAGCAGCTCCGCCAAGCTCCGACCACGTCGACCACGACCACGTCGACTACGTCCCGAGCAGCTCCGCCGAGCTCCGACCACGCTGACCACGACCACGTTGACCTCGTCCCCGAGCAGCTCCGCCGAGCTCCGACCACGTCGACCATGGACCACGTCGACCACGTCCCGAGCAGCTCCACCGAGCTCCGACCACGTCGACCAAAGACCACGCAAGTTCGTTAAGACAGTAACGATCCTTCGGCTTGCATGCAAGCAAGCATGCCCATGCGTGGGTCACGTATATCAATATGGAACAAGCTAAGTCATGTTTCCTATTTCAATTAACTATTCTATGACATATATATTGGGTATATCTACATCTACGTAACTATTTTTGGCAGGTGCTAGAACTCCGACCGGGCGTATCTAGCAGCAAGCAGCCAAACGACGGCAAGCCAGCAAGGAGGTCATGCAAAGCTAGCTGGTCGGCCGTACGGATCAGTTTGCACATATGCATGATTGTTCGGAAATTAATACGTACATGGTTATGTACCATTGTATCAACCAACATCAAGCAAGTTGCTGATCCATGGCGAACCAGATGGCGTACCTCAAGACCAACGTCGTTTGCGGCAACTCATCTTGCTGCGACGGCCTCCTTCAACAACATCTCGACAAATTGGCGGCGGCGTTCAACATCGCGGCGCTGCTCCCGTCATCAAATCCATCCACAAGTCGGAGCTTGACTGGTGGTCGATGAATTCATCGCCTGATTGCGAACGTGAGAATCGATCTACAGCACCATGCAAGACGACGTCAGCATGCAAAAGATCATGCGCGATCTACTACATGCAAGATGATAATCGGAACGGGTCTCCATCGTCGACTTGACGGATCTCCATCATCGACTAGCACGACGCTGCACTCGTTGCCTCCCTGGCTACACTCTCCAACAGCCTGGCCCATCGCCGCAAGTCCAGATTGGATCAGAAGCTCGATACCTGTCTCGGCGATACGCCTAGTCGGAGCCAACGCTCAAGAGCTGAGATCAGCACCGCGGGCACACGTACATGCAAGCCAACTACGAATGTCTAGGATACTTGCTCGTGCATGTGCACGCATGTATCTATCGTGCTCCAGGCACAGCTCGCGTTGAGCCATCAAGGGAGAAAGCGAGCTGTTAAGCTATCTAGCGAGTCACGACGAGCCGCGTCGCGTCGAGCCGTTGAGCGAGCCGCGCCGAGCCACAAGCGAGCCACGTCAAGCCATCTCTCGAACATCGCAACACGCCGACTACATCCACCGGTCGTCAATAAAGCTAAGTATTATTTTTAATTGAAAATTTCTTCGATCATCGTACACCTCCGCCGACCACCCTAAGGGTGCGCTCCGCGTCGAATTTTCTCCATACATACAATCCAAAACATGTATAAGTTTTTACAACGGTTCGCCGATACGTTTTCCTTCCTGCTTGAGAATCCCAGAGCCGCACCTCCGCTCCACCCCACGCGATGCATGAGAGTCCGCCCTCTGCGCTTCGGGTGGTCGGCGATCGCTCCCCAGTAACACTGGCACTCTCACGCTAGCAGCGTTCCATTACCTCGCGCTTTAGAGATGTTGGTCAGCCCAGGGCTGGCGCATTCTCCAGATGGTTAATACATCGCGCTTCGCCGCTACATAACAAAAAAGGGCTAAAACAGCTAATGTTATTTTTCAATATTACACCAAGTATAATTCATTGCCAACCGGACACCAAGTGTTTACTTCACCTCCTATAGAGAGGTCAATATATTTCGTACATCATCATGTACTACCGCTCTCCGTGTTTATTTTTTAGGAACATGGTTCGGTCAACGAGCTGATGCTTCGGGGCTCGCCAAGACTACTATGGTGCTCGAGGACTCTGCGCACCACGCCAAGCGCTCGGGGACTCTCGAGACCACCCTCGTGCTCGAGGACTTGCTGACCACCCGTGCTCTCGGGACTTCAGCGCGACCACTCCGTGCTCTCGGGGATCGCCATGATCACTCTCCGACCACAGCTTGGGGACTTCGTCACTCGTTTTGCCCTCGACTACTCTCCCACCACAGCTGGGGACTTCGTGTCTCGACTACATGCGACTGGCGACTCGCATACAGTTGGGATATTTTTTCTCGTTTAGACCTTGCTACAAGGCTCATACCTCGCCTTCCAGCAAGCTCGGGGACTACATCGGTACGATGCACCTGCCGGGCAGTGAAACCGGTACAACTAAACAGAACGCCAGCACGTTCTAACTTAGTTACACCAACATGATATTCGAGCTTCAAAACGTTTTCTACAAAACAAACAAGCTCATGTTGTTATACAGTTACGTTATTACAAGCTTGCCTGAAAAGGTCCAAGTTTACAATAACACAACTACATCTTCTTCTACAGCTATAGCCTACACTAATAGCTGGTTGGGGCACGCGGCACCTACTGCTCGCTAGGCCTGACATCGTGCTCAAGTCT